TGTGTGTGTGTGTGTGTGTGTGTGTGTGTGTGTGTGTGTGTGTGAGAGAGAGAGAGAGAGAGAGAGAGAGAGACAGACAGACAGACAGACAGACAAATAGGGTCCCATGTAGTCCAGGCTAGCCACAGCTTTCTATGTAGCTGAGGATGACCTTGAACTCCTTATCCTCCTGCCTCCACCTCCTGATGGCCGGGATCACAGGTGTGTGTCTCCTCAGCCAGCTAGGAGGAGGAGGAGGAGATATTTCTGAACATTTTGTAAGGCTTGCCAGAGACATTGGGGCCTTGAGTGTGGCACTCAGCATGAAGTAGCTTGCTGATGACTGTCAGTGACCAGGTCCCTCTGTGGCATGCCATCATGACCTTGAACATGACCTCTACGCAGAGGGAGCCACTCTGCTTTACAATGATGGCTTAGTCCTGAACTGAGGGTGACAGTGGTACTGTCAGAGGTGGCCAGCTAGACCTGGTGGCACAGGCCTTTCATCCCAGCACTCAGGAGGCAGAGGCAGGCAGATCTCTGTGAGTTCAAGACCAGCTGGGTCTACATAGCAAGTTCCAGGACAGCTAAGAATACTTAGTAAGATTTGTCTACCAAAAAAAAAAAAAAAAAAAAGTGACCAGGATCCCCAGCAGACCCTTCTTCTGTGTTATGCGTCCTTACTGAGATGCTGTCCCCATCCCTACGTCCCTACAGCAGACATAGGAAGCAGCCTGGCATGGGTGTGGCTAGCTGAGAATGGCCCCGGACACTTGGCTCCTTAACTGAGTGCTGAATCTGTTCTCTATCCTGGTATCCACTGAGGTCATACCAACACGGGCGGCCTTGAGGTTTGACCAGCCAGCATACACACATATGCCGTCTGTTTGCCAGGCTTTGGAAGCCCAGGGCGCTCCCATTGGCCCCGCTGAAGCTGAGGTCACCATGCTGAATGAAGCCACTGTCCTAGAGGGAGACGGCCCTTCTAAGAAGCCTGTCCCCAGGCATGTGAACTGTCTCCTAGCTACCGGCTGCTGCAGGACATGCCACTCCAGTACCAAGTGAGGACCAAGAGGGAGACCATCAGCGATGTGTAGCTCAAAAGAGCTTCTGATCACCACAGCCCCTTTACTGTCCAAGCTCAGAAGCAGGGGGACTTCTGGGCAGGGAAGTGCACGTCTGTAATTAACATGTAGGAGACTGATGCAGAAGCCTGGGAGTTTCAGGCAATTCTAGGCCATAAAGTGAATTTGTGCCAGTCTGGGCTATATAATAGGACCCTGTCATGGGGAGAAAAAAAGAAGGGGCTGGGAAAGCGGCTTTAAATGGTTAGGAGCACCGACTGCTCTTCCAGAGGACCCAGGTTCAGTACTCAGCACCCACATGGCAGCTCACAACTGTCTGTAACTCCAGTTCCAGGGGCCCTGACCCTCTCTTCCGGCCTCTGTGTGTATCAGGCATGCACATAGTTTATTTGTATATATGCAGGCAAACACTCACATACACAGAAAAACTTTAGAATCTTAAAGCACAAAGAAGTGAGAAATCTGGTATGGACTACAGGGCAGTCAACCTTTCCTCTCACAGCAGGACAAGAAGACACGGCACTCCATCTTGTGCTGCTTCCCTTGGGTCCGAAATCTCCCCCAGATGCTGCTGCCCTGGTACTGTGACATCCCATTTCAGGAGCCCTAAGTTCAAATCCTACCTTCACTGCTGTCTCTGATAAGCCCTGGCTCCCCTCTGTGATGTGGTTAGGTTGCATGTGGTACCGCCTTCTGGTCTTAGAGAGGTTGGTGGTGCCATGATGTATGAGGAAGATCAATGCCTGGCCCCAACATCTAGCACTGTGTGACCTCCTGGAGGCTCCCTGTCTGAGAGACGAGCACTACAGGCCTCCCTTGCCAGACCCCCGCCTCTCTTTATGATAGCTTTCAGCCTAGATGGCCCTCCTCGGTGAGGACCTTGCTGAGAAGGACACGTGTGCTCAGTTTTTCCTTGCCTGTGGTGGTGTGGGAAAGGCCTGTGTGTCCTGATAGCACGGGCAATGAAGGAACCAGTGAACAAACTCAAGAGAACCCCCCAGAGTGGGCCATAGGACCTGGCAACCCCTGTGTCCACAGGAGGGTCTCATATGCTTGATCCCTGGAATGGATTTCCGCCCCACAACCTCCTTGCTCCTCAGGGAGACTCTGAGGAAGACAGAGGTGAGACAGCCCAGAATCCAGGTCCAGGGAGCTCCTGGAGTTAGAGGCAGAGGGGGTGGTATGAACCTGAGATGCATGCTGGTCAAACACTGTGTCAAATATAAAGGTACGTTCCCGGGACCGGTGTGCACGAAGTGTGTCCTCTGGGTCTTCGCCTGGATCCATGAGCACAACCACCTGGATGCATCAAGACAGAGGGGTCAGGGGAGGGCCAGTCAGACTCTGGCTGTGTTTCCTAAAGATTAAAGCACATCTTTAATCCCAGCACTTGGGAGGCAGAGACAGGTGGATCTCTGTGAGTTTAAGGCCCACCTGGTCTACAGACAGAGAGTTCCAGGACAGCCAGGGTGGTTACACAGAGAAACAAACAAACAAACAAACAAAAATATGTGTACCATCACTGCTGGCCTCAGGATGTTTTTCTCATTTGCTTCTCCACTTCAGTTTTTGAGGCAGGGTCTCTCACTGAGCCTGGAGCTGGACTGGCTGGCCAGTGAGATCCTCCTAGTTCTCTAGTTCTGGGGTTACAGGTTCACGAAGCTCCATCTGCTTTGTGTGGGTTCTGGGAATCCAAACTCAGGTCCTTATGCTTGCACAGTGAGCCCCTTACCTTGTCTCAATCACTCACTGGGGGACAGTGTCTCCTGCTATCCCTTGCTCAAGGCATACCATACAACTCCCCTCAGCCAGTGGACTCCACAGTCACATAAGTAGCTCAGATGGTGGAAGGTGGTGGCGCACGGCTTTAATCCCAGCACTCGAGAGGCAGGACTAGGCAGATCTCTGTGAGTTCTAGGCCAGCCCGGTCTACAGAGTGAGATCCAGGACAGGCCCCAAAGCTACACAGAGAAACCCTGTCTAAACAAACAAACAAACAAACAAACAAACAAACAAACAAACAAACAAGCCCCAGAGAACCCCAAGCCCAGAGAGAGCGCCTGCCATGCTTCAACAACCCCACCCAATACAACAGACTACCACCCACCCACTCTGGCCCCATAGTGACAGACTCCCCTGTGACCTAATGTCATCAGAGAAGGCAGGAGGCTATGGAAACTGTAAAGTACTGTGCTGGCCACTCCAGTTGCATTCCCGGCACAGGGCAGGGGAGATAAAGGGACTATCTCAAAGCCTCCACCCACATGCTCCATTTCTCTGAGAGTCTGTCAGTCCCCAGGGCCCCTCCGTCCCCACATACACTATTATCAAGCAAGCCTGTTAAGATCCTTGGGGCAAAGGGATTAAAGGAGCCCGCCCCAGGGACCACGGGGGCAGGGAAATGGGCAGAGGCCAAATACAGCCTGCCTGGTGGAGACTTGGGGCTGAGCACCAGAGGGGAACCAAGGTGGTGGAGCAGAGCTGGGTGGTTCTGAGGGTCCTGTCACATGACCACTACTTACTTGCCCCTCATGTGTTCTTAGCTTTGGAAACCGTAGTCCTGGGAGGCCAGGCTCTGCCAGGGCTTCTCCTGGCTTCTGGCCAGTGCTTGCTCCATGACATAAGCTAACTCTCTCTCCTCCCGGGGAAGCACTGTGTCACAGGGGCCACCTACCTACCCACTGTGGCCAGGCCATGGCTGCAGGAGGACTTAGATGGGTCTCCAGCCAGGGTCCTCATGGAAATGGGCTCTGAACCCCCAGAGCTTGATTTCTAACCCTACCCTGGTTCTCTGCTCACTCCAGCAGGAGCCTAGGTGTCTCTCAGACCTCACCCAGTCTTCATATATGTGAAATGACAGTCCTCACAAAGCCTGCTCACTAAAGGGCCATAAAGGCTGATAAGAAAACACACACACAGACCCCTGGGTGTTCATTGGGTCTTGGATCAGAAATATATATATATATTTGTTTATTGTGTATGTTTGTGTGAGTGCAGGAGTTGGTGTCCTCCTGCGACCTTGTGGGATCTGGGGATCCAACTCACATCATCAGGCTTGCACATAGTACCTTCCCCTGCCAAGCTACTTTGTCAGCCTCAAAAAAAATATTTTTGTTGTTATAATTAACCTTATTCTTATTTGCAGATGATATGATTCTATGCCAAAGACCTTACCCACCCCAGGAGAAGAACGTTAAGATGGATAGACGCTTTCAGCAAAGCGGCAGGATACAAAGTTAGCAGCAGCAATAAATCAGTAGCTGGGGTCAGTGAGATGGCTTAGCAGGTAAAGGCGCTTGCTATGCAAGTTTGACGGCCTGAGTTCCATTCCCAAGACCACTGCGTGGTAATCTGAATGAAATACCCTGCATAGGCTCAGATATTTGGACACATGGTCCCCAGTTGGTGCTGCTGTTTGTGAAGGATTAGAAGGTATGTGGCCTTGCTGGAGGAAGTATGCCACTGGGGGCTGGCTCTGAGGTTCCAAAGCCTCACACCATTGCCAATGTGTTTTCTATGCTTCCTGTCTGCAGTTCAACATATGAGCAGTCAGCTTCCAGCTCCAGTTGCCATGACTCTACTCTGTCATCATGGGCTCTGTCCTGGCTAGTTTTAGGTCAACTTGACACAAGCTAAAGTCATCTGAGAAGAGGGAACCTCAACTGAAAAAAAAAAAAGTCTCCATAAGATCAGGCTTAGGCTAGCCTATGGGGCATTGTCTTTCCTAATTAGTGACTGCGGAGGAGGGCCCAGCCCATTGTGAGCAGTGCCACCCCCTGAGTTAGTGGGCCTGGGTGCTGTAAAAAAGCAGGTTGAGGCTGAGTGGTGGGTGATACTTGCCTTTAATCTCAGCACTTGGGAGGCAGAGGCAGGTGGATGGTCTACAGAGGGAGTTCTAGGACAGCCAGAGCTACACAAAGAGACCCTGTCTCAAAACAAACAAACAAACAAACAAAAAATACAGGCAGAGCAAGCCAGTAAGCAGCACTCCTCCATGGCCTCTGCATCAGCTCCTACCTTCAGGTTCTGGGCCAGTTTGAGTTCCTGTCCTGAATTTCTTTGACGATGAACAGTGATGTGGAAATTCAAGCAAAATAGGCCTTTCTCCCCGACTTGCTTTTGATCATGTTGTTTTGTCACAGCAATCCTAACCCTGCCTCAGACAGACTCTTATCCCTCTGGAACCATAAGCCCAAATAAACTCTTCAAAAAGCTGCCTTGGTCATGGCATTTTATCACAGCAACAGAAAAGCAACTAATACACCTTGTAAAGGAGGAAGGAGAGAATTGACTCCACAAAGTTGTCCATGTCTACGCTGTGACATACATGCCTACATATCACACACACACACACCCCACAATAATACAACAAAGATAATAAATTAGTAGCCTTTTTATCAACATGGGTCTCAACAAGAGGTCAAATAACTGTTTCACAGGGATTGCCTAAGACCACTGGAAATATCAGATATTTATAATTCATAACAGTAGCAAAACCATATTTATGAAGTAGCAACAAAAATAATTTTATGGCTAGGGACCACAACACGAGGGACTGTGTTAAAGGGTCACAGCATTAGGAAGGTTGAGAACCAGTATTATATAAGAATAACAAATATCTAAGGAAGAAATCAGACAAATGCTCCCATTCACAACTGCTCCAGGGGAAAAAATACTTTGGAATAAACCTAACAAAGTAAGTGAATGGTCTTTAAAACAACTTTAAAACACCCAAGAGAGATTGAACATACTAGAAGATGGAAAGATCTCCCATATTCACAGACCTCTTCAATAAAGACTGGGAAAATACCAAAGACAATCTACAGATTCAACACAGTCCCCATCAAAGTACCAACACCTCTTCATAGACAAAAAGGAAACAATCCAAAAATTCATCTGAAAGCAAAAAGACCTGGGATAGCCAAAGCCAGCCTGAGGTCGCAGCCTGCAGGAAGATGACCTGGACTAGAGACATAATAATAAGACAAACAGCACCATACTGGTACAGAGTCAGACACACAGGTCAATGGAAGGGAAGACCCAGATATAAGCCCATGTATTAACCCTAACCCTGAGTCACCTGATTTTTTTTTAAAGAGGGAGAAAAGGCAGCCTGTGGCTGGCAAGATGGCTCAGCCATTAAGAGCACTTGTTCTTGCAAAGGACCTGGATTTGGTTCCCAGGGCCCATGTTGGGTGGCTCATGACCACTTGTGACTCCAGTTCCAAGGGATTCAATGTCATCTTCTAACCTCTATGGGCACCTGGCATGAATGTGGTGCACAGACATACATGTGGGCAAAACACCCATTAAAAAAAAAAGTGTTCAATATCCTTAACCATGGTAGAAATGCAGATTGGAACCACTTTGAGATCCCATCTCACCCCTGTCAAAATAAGTATCATCAACAAACGCTAGTGGTCTACTCACTGTTGGTGGGAATACAAACTGGCGGAGCCATCCTGGAAACCAGTGTGGAGGTTCCTCAAGAAGCTATAAATATGCCAGCAGCGGTGGCGCACATCCTTAATCCCTGCACTCGGGAGGCAGAGGCCTTCCGGATCTCTGAGTCTGAGGCCAGCCTGGTCTATGGAGAGAGTTCCAGGACAGTCAAAGCTACATAGTGAGACTCTGTCTTGAAAAACAAAACAAGAAAACGAGGAGGAGGAGAAGATGAAGAAGCCAAAGCAGCAGCTGAAAACAAATCTTCCATATGTCCCAGCTACACCAATCCCGGGCACATACCCAGAGGCCTGTGCATCCCCCCCAGGGATGTTTGCTCATCCGTGCTCTACTCTCAACAGCTGGAAAGCAGAACTGACAGTGGACAGTGAAAGTGTGACACATGCACACAATGGAAACATATGAAGTGTAAAGAAAAATGAAGTCGCAAAGGTTGTCAGTAAATACACAGAACTGGGAAATACATGAAGTGAAGGTACCCAGGCCCAGAATGACAACACATGTTCTCTCTCATACATGGATTCTAGCTTCTATCTTTTTATACATATGTGGTCATGAGATGGGAGCAGACACTAGACAGACACAAGAAAATTATGTTTGGCATAAAATTATCCTATGACTAAGCCTCAGTAAATGTTATCTATGCTTTATTTAAAACCCAAATGTCATGGTTGTTTGGATCGGCATCTGACCATTTATGAGAAACTTTACATTCCTGGGCATGTTGTTAGGAATTCCTGCTTAAATTCCCTTTCAAATGCATCTCCTCTTTTGATCAGAGATGTTACTCAAAGTGGTGTGGTGTTGTGTTTGGGAGATTATTTCTACACATTTAACTGTTTCCATTGAATTTCTCTCTCTCTCTCTCTCTCTCTCTCTCTCTCTCTCTCTCTCTGGTTTTTTGTTTGTTTATTTCTTTTTGGGACAATATTTCTCTATGTAACAGTCCTGGTTGTCCTGGAACTCATCCTGTAGACCAGGCTGGCCTCGAACTCACAGAGATCTACCTGCCTCTGCCTCCTGAGTGCTGGGATTAAAGGCATGTGCCACTACCACCCAGCTTGAGTTTCATTTTTATTTTGATACCTTTCATCTGAGTTATCATTGTATAATTTTAAATCCTGAAAATAATATGTGAGGAGCTGGAGAGTTGGCTCAGCAGTTGAGACTGCTTGCTGCTCTTGCAGAGGACCCAGGTTTGGTTCACAGCACCCACACAGTGGCCCACGGTCATCTGTAACTTCAGACCCAGGGGACTGAATGCCTTCTTATGACCTCTACAGGCACCAGGCATGCATAGAGTGCATTTACATACATCCAGGCAAAACATACATACATATAAAATAAAAACAAGTAATCTGAGCCCATCCTGGGGGTGCACACTTTCAATCCCAGCACTCAGGAGGCAGAGGCAGGCAGATCTCTGAGTTCAAGGCCAGCCAGAGTGAGTTCTAGGACAGTTAGGGCTACACAGAGAAAAGTCAAAATAACAACAACAACAAATCTTTAAAAAGTAAGTTTGGCTGAGAAAAAAGAACATTATTGGGGAAAGGCAGCAGGATTTTGAATGTGTCTACAAAGTTAGACGATGCTGGATCAATGTCTACAAGGTGAGATGATGCTGGATCAATGTGTGCTTCCTGATTTCCTTGCTGAAGTCAGATGCCAGGATGTATGCCTAAGTGAGGCTCAGAGAGATTATAACACCTTCCTCTGTTGCGAGTGCAAATGCTAACCGTCATAGTTTTCTCCCCCTGGACACTTATGGCCTGAAGACTGCTTCCTACAGACACAGTCCCTCCTGCCTCCTTGTTTATTGGTATGCAATAACCCCACTTCCCTGTTCAACCATATAAAATAAATACATCAGCTTGGGGGGGGGGGCTTTGGCTTCTGCATCCAAGAGCCAAGCCCACCCAACCCCAGCTTATCTGTTTGTTTTTTCTTCCTTCTTTCAATGTTGTAGTCAGGTCAATCCCTGGAGCATGCTGGATGGGGTAAGAATGTTCCTGTTTTTTGCTGTTTGTTTTAAGAGAAGGGTTCCCGGTATAGTCCTTGCTGTCCTGAAACTCACTTTGTAGACCAGGCTGGCCTCAAACACAGAGATCTGCCTGTCTCTGCCTCTCCAGTGCTGGGACTAAAGGTGTGCTTTTAGTCTGGCTTTTTTTCCCCAATGTGTGGTGGTGTATGGACACACAGAAGGACCTCAGATGTCCTGCTCTGTCACTCTGCCTTATTCTAATGTTGAGACAGTGTCTCTCACTAAGCCTGGAGCTAGGCAAGCTACTATCAAGCCCCCCCTCCCCCCCGCCCCAATCCTCCCATTTCTGCCCTCTACAGCACTGGGGTTACAGGTATGTGGGTACAGACATGCCCAGCTTTTTACATGGGTGCTAGGCAACCAAGACCCTCTGAACCATATCCCTAGCCCTTGTTTTTTGTTTGAAAAAGTGTCTAGCTGTGCAGTCCAGGTGGGCCTTGAATTCATGATACTCCTGCTCTGGCCAGCCCATGACAGAATTATAGGCATGAGCCACCATACCCAGATGAGAATGTTTTTGTTTTAAAGAGATATATGATGGAATGTTTGGTGGGGAGGGGTGTTGTGCCCCTAACTGACTCCAAATGATCCAGAGAAATGGAGTCAGAGCCCAGGGGAGTGAAACAGGGCCCCAGACTTTGGTACAACTGGCTTCATAATGGAAGTACCATTCAGGACATAAAACTCGGCATGTGGACAGTACCACCTGCCAAAACTAAAACAAAGGCCTAATCCATCAGAGCCTATCGTTCTGGGGGTGTCTCTAAATGTACTAACCTTGCTTTTTGGCTTCTGTAGTTCTGCTCTGGCTAACTGATCTTGTTAACTAAAATATGGACATGGATTTTGTGCTTAAAAGCTCACCCCGGGAAAGGCTCGGGGCTACACTGGGATCCTGAGCACCCAGTGGTAGTTGTCAGCCAGCTAATGAAGACTTTCTATTGGCTTACCAATGTCTGAGCAGTCTTCTCTGGTGACTACCCTACAACTGGGAGAGGGGCAGAGTGAGGCAATATATGAGGTTAAGGGACACTGGGTCATGGCCTTCCTGCAACCTCTCTATTGGTTTGAAGTTATTTCAAAATAAAACGAATAGTAACTGGGTTTGATGGTGCACACCTTTAATCCCAGTACTCAGGAACCAGAGACAAGTGGATCTCTGTGAGTTTGAGGCCAGCCTGGTCTGTATGGTCAGATAGAAAGAGAAGAGGAGGAGGAGGAGGGGAGGGAGAGGAGGAGAGAAGGAGGAAGAGAACTGAACTTATCACAACATAGGTGAACCTCAAAAACACTGAGCCACACTTAGAAGGCCACACACCACACTCGTGTGACTACATTGACACAGAATGTCCAGAAACCAGAGTCAGAAGTGGGGTGGCAGCTGACAGGTGTAGGGGTCTATGCAGAGTGTATAGATGAAGAGGACTAAATGCCCCTTGTTTACTTGAAAAGGGGGGATGGGGAAGTGGTGTAATTATATTTTAATTCTTAAAAGTTTAAAAAGAAAAAGGTGAGATTTTGAACCAGGAGGTGCTGGTACACCTGTCATCCCAGCACTCGGGAGCTGAGGCAGGAGTTCAAGGCTAGCCTAGGCTACACGGGGAGACACTATCTCAAGGAAAAAAAAGTGAATTTTCTCTGGTGCCAATTTCACCTTGATTTGTGTATGTATGGTTGGGTGTGCATGCACAGCTATGTATGTGTGGCCAAGGGCTGGGGGGGGGGGCAGAAGTTAAGCTGTCTTCTCAACTGTTCTCCATGTTTTTTGTTTTTTTTGTTTTGGTTTTTCGAGTCAGAGTTTCTCTGTGTAGCCCTGGCTGTCCTGGATCTCGCTCTGTAGACCAGACTGGCCTGGAACTCACAGAGATCCACCTGCCTCTGCCTCCTGAGTGCTGGGACTAAAGGCATGTGCCACCACACTCAGCCTCTCCACCTCATTTTTAAAACATGGTCTCTCACTGAACTTGAGCTCACCAATCTGGCTAGACTAGCTAACCATGGAACCCCAAGGATGCCCCTTGTGCTGGGATTACCAACCCTCGCCACCATGCCCAGTTTTCCCCGAGTTAGGGTTAGAATTCAGGTCCTTATGCACGCACATCAGGCAGCTACAGAGCTCTCCCTGGAGCCCTTTGCCTTGATGTTTCAGCAGGAGCTGTCTTTTGAGGATTTTTGTTGTTGTTATGTGTATGGGTGTCTGGCGCCCACAGAAGCTAGAAGAGGGTGTCTATCTGGTACTGGAGTTGACAGATGGCTGTGAGCCACCACATGGGTGCGTCCTCTGGAAGAGCAGCCAGGGCTCTTAACTCCCGAGCCCTCTCCAGCCCCACCCACTGCCTTCTGTCCTGCTCAGTCACACATCCACACATATGAAGCAGCGGTCCCGCCCTCCCTACTCGGCTCACTTCCGCAGCTGACCCCGCTTTACTGCTGTATCTGAACACTGGCACCTGGTGTGCACTGCTTAGCGGTCCACGACCTCAGTGCTGATTCACCCCAATGGCAGCTCTGCCAATGCACCCCTCCCTTGGGTGCTGAGTCCCTGTGGGCAGCCCTTGGCAGGGATCTATGTGTACCCACATTTTGGGTTGTTGGCTCGAGTGTAAACACCCTGCCTGCGCATTGTCTCATGGATGACCTCACTAATATTCCTAGTGACCAATAGGGACATTCTCTCACAAAGCCTGCCTCGAGATTCCTTCTAAGTGACAGCCAAAGGCAAAAATTTCTGAGGTGTGGGCAACTGAGTGCGGAGCCTTTCTCCGAAGGAAAGTCCCTGGCAGCATGCGCCCCACCCTGCAGCCAGCAATCACCCCAAGTTTCTGAAATCAGATCTGACACTCGAATGTGGCCTGCCAAGTGTCCTTGCACGCTGTCTCTCCTACGTTCCCGCTTTGGTGTCTCAGCAGAGACCTTTTTGGAGCAGACAGCACCAAGGACTAATGCACTTTCTGTTGATGAAAGGAAACGGGGGCTGAAGCAGGAGGGCTGCTGCGTGTGCAGGCTAGCTAGCCTGGGACACAGCGAAGTGCTGAGTGAACCTGGCATAAAGTGAGACTCGAAAAGGAAAAAGTCTTTTTTGTTTTTTTTTTGTTTGTTTTTTCAAGACAGAGTTTCTCTGTGTAGTTTTGGTGCCTGTCCTGGAACTCACTTGGTAGTCCAGGCTGGCCTCAAACTTACAAAGATCCGCTTGGCTTTACCTCCCGAGTGCTGGGATTAAAGGTGTGCGCCACCACCGCCTGGCCAGGAAAAATTCTAAAAACCTAAGCAGGTAACTCAGTCAGTAAGGTGCTTGCCATGCAAGCATAAGACACAGTTTGATCCCCAGAACCTGAATGTACCCACAAGCTGGGCGTGGGGGCACTCAATTGGAGTCCCACTGCTTGAGACAGAGGCAGGAAAATCCCTGGGGTTCATTGGCTAACCAGCCTAACCTAGTCAACGAGGCCTGGGTCCCAGTGACAGTCTGTGTCTCAGAAACCAAGAAGGGCTTAACAGATGACTCAGCATCGGGGAAAATCGCCTGCTGTCGAACCCGAGGACCTGAGTTTGGTCCCTGGGACCCAACCAGCTCAAGCAAGTTTTCCTCCCCCCCCCTTAACACACACACACACACACACACACACACACACACACACACACACACACACACACACACACACACACACACACACACGCACACACACACCGATAAAGTTGTGTGGAAAGTGCTTGTCAGCTAAGCTCGGCCCCAGAACAGAGCCAGGCCACCTGAGCGAACACCTCTAGTCTCACCTGGTCCCCCACTTTGTGGGCGATGACGGTGGCCCCTTCCTCCAGTTCTGTACTGTTGAGCGGACGGATCCGAAGCGCCACCTGTGGACAGGGCACAGGCAGCACCAAGATCCTCAGTAGCCCTCCATTTCCCATCCTCAGTCTCTGCTCTCAGTGAGGGGGTAGCCTTACCCCCACGCAAACCTAGACCCTACGTGCATGGAGCTGCCTCCCAGAAGGGCTCTGAGGGATTGGTGGTGACGTCACTGCCATGGAACAGAGAGAAGAGGAGCAACTTGCCCAAGGTCACATAGCTGTCTGTTTTAGCTGTGATCAGAAAGGAAACCTACCTGCATCTTCCAGCCCTCTATGAGCATTCAGGAGGACCCTGGGCTTTGCATGTCCCTCAATTCTGCCCAGCCCATGTGTAAGGGTATCTTTGATGGTACATAGATCACAGATGACAAGGGGCCAGTCTCTGTCTTCTTAACCAGAGACAGGTGCCGGGAGGGTTCTAATACAGTTCATCCTAAGGCTGAGTGGGACAAGGAGCCTGACAGGAAGCGGTCTGCCCCACAGCTGGGGTCATAGTTCAGACCCTGGGCTTTCTGAGGATGGAGGACCAGAGAGTAGGATACAGGGGTATCACTGGGTCCCAGGAAAGTCGGAACCAGGAGTGGGGCATTGGTCTTTACAGGATCCACGAGTATAGGGTTTGGGGGCTTCTTGGCAGGGGTAGAGGCAGGAAGGGGCTGGAGTTAGCGGGGGACCCGAGGGAGGGTACTCACCATGAGCTGCTGGTCCTTGGGTTCCATCTCCCTCAGGGCTGGGCTGCCCCGGGCTGGAGAGGGGTCTGCGGTCTGGTGGGAGGGCATGCTGCAAGTCAGAACTGGAGGTCCCCAGCTAACCTAGCAGAGTCGGAGGCAAGGAGATCTTCCCAGATCAGCCCCGCCCTGCTCTGCTCCCCAGGCTCACTCTGGTGACATCAGCTGGGTCCCCAGAGGTGGGGCTGGGCCAGCATTGAGCTCATTTACTAACCTGGTGTCACCCCACCTGTCTCTTTGGCCAGGACAGCCCTCATGGTTTGAGCAGTCCCCAAGCAGCCAGCCAGACCTCACAGATGACATCATGATGAGACCATGGCAAGAACCCTGTTCAGCTTGTCTCTAGCTCTCTTACACCACAGAAGCCTCTGGTCTCAAGATAAGCCTACCTTAGAGAACCCTGTAGTTTGGTGCCCCTTCTCTCCTGAGCCCAGGAGCAATGGTCACCCACACAGTGGCCACCTCAGAACAGCAGGTCAGTGTTTGTGGCTTCCCTCCTTCTCAAAGGGACAAAACAGCAACAGATGAAACCAAATGAACCTATTTCAGCTGTGAGCGACCTTGCCAGGGTCTTTCATAGATGACCAAGTTTCTGGTACAATTTCCAGCCTTCGGTGTCTTGTCTGAACACCCAAGAGGGATTAAGGATGGAGCTGGTGGATTTACTGCCTCACTTCTTCCATGGGATCCCCGAGGACATCCTGCTCTGTGAACTCCCCAGCCTGGCCAAGAAGACTGCACCAACAATGTCACACAAGTAACCTGGGGTGGCACAAGCTGTTAAGAGCCAGGCTTGGGGACTGGAGAGATGGTTCAGCAGGTAAAGGCACCTGCCATGAAAGCTGGCGACCTAAGTTCCATCCCTGGGATCCACACAGTGTAAGAATCAACTCCTGCAAGTTGTCTTCTGACCTCCATATGCATATACACAATGTATGTAAAAACAAACAAACAAACAAGCCGGGCAGTGGTGGCGCACGCCTTTAATCCCAGAACTCAGGAGGCAGAGCCTCTGTGAGTTGAGGCCAGCCTGGTCTACAGAGCGAGACCCAGAACAGGTACCAAAACTACACAGAGAAACCCTGTCTTGAAAAACAAACAAACAAACAAACAAACAAACAAACAAACAAACAAACAACTTATCTGTAAGAGCCAGGCTCAGGAGCTGTTCAGCGGGTAGAGGTGCTTTGCCTACAGGCCTGGAGACCTAAATTCAATTCCTGGATGCACATCATGGAAGATGAGCTTCCTGTAGGTTCCCCTCTGACCTCCACAAGCATTCACAGCATGCACACATACACACAAAATACTATGAAATAAAACTATTTAAAAAAAGAGCCATGTTTACCTGGGAGGCCCACACCTTTAATCCCAGCACTCAGGAGGCAGAGGCAGGTGAATCTCTGTAACAAAAAGCTACAGATTGATTCTATGGAACCCAAACTTAGGCTTTCTGTGAGGACTCTGCCTAGAGCTCAAGCTAACCACACAGGGTCATGGGAAACTTTAAGGCTCCCCTGAAGCAAATCCCACCTTCTCTCAGAAATCAAACCAGTTTAGCTGTGTGAGGCCAGAACTCCTTAGGTCACATTCTTTCTCTTCCTTAGCATCTGGGTCAACCTTGGGCATTAGGAGATGTTTGCCACAGGGCAGGGAAGGGATTAGGGCCCAAGGAAACACAGCTCCCCCACTACCCCCCAGCCTCCAGGAGCCAGGGTGAATCCCATCCATGCTGAGCCCTGAGCACAGGCTGTCCTGAGGCAGGAGCCTTCCCTCAACTCCAGCTGCAGCACAGAAGACAGGAAACAGCGCTTCACAAATGCTCTCTTAGAAATCACAGAAAACAATTGCAACCAAGTTTCAAATAGTGAAAAGCTTAGCACTATTAAGAACCTTCCACTGTACAGTGGGCTGTGGTGGTGCACACCTTTAATCCCAGCACTTGGGAGGCAGGGGCAGGCATATCTCTGTGAGTTCGAGGCCAGTCTGGTCTACAGAGTGAGTTCCAGGACAGCCAGGGCTATCACACAGCAAAACAGTATTGAAAAACCAAAACCAAAAACCCTGCAAATGTGCTGTATCTGTGTGCCTTTTCCATCGCACTGCTGTGAAACTCGAAAAGTATGTTTAAAGAGCATGGGAGTGGCCAATACCCTGGGGTAAAACCGCTGAAGGGCCTGCAACCATGATGGAACCTCAGAGAGGCCAAGGGAATAAGGACTCTTAAGACTCAGGAGGAGAGGTGAGCCACCTCCCAAGGATGATGCACACAAATCACTATTCTGTGTCTTCTGCTCCCATATCTGTGGCAGCCTGACCCCTGCTGGAGGTATATGCTCTGCAGATGTACCACGGCTGTGGGCCCAGCCTGGGGTGGCTCTCTCTGGTCACAACAGATGCAGAGGCAGGCTGTGTAGAGCATGGCCACAGTTCACCCTGGGTGGAGGCCATCTATACTAGTTTGTCCTCTTCTCTACTGGACACTAGGTAACTGCAGAGAGGTGTGTGTCTAAGTGGCTGACTCCTCTATACCTGTTTTCCAACTTGTCCAATTCTGGCAAACCCAAGGGTTCTGTGGGGTGAGATGATGAGCACTGTCTCACAGAAACAGATCGAAGACACTGTATCTGGGATCCGGTACACTAGCTCCCGACTAGGTTTCAGACAGGCTCTCAACAAGCCAGGAGCAAGTGTGCAAACACCCACACCCTAGGGAGAGGGAATGGGCAGGCCTCCAGGCCACTGCGAACTGCAAAGAGGAGACAACTTTTTCACACAGGGTTGCCTTTATTTCCACATCCAACCTGCGCAGAGGCCCTGCCACAGCCCGAACAGGTGCGGGGTGCTGGGGTGCCTCCAGAGCCACCGCACAAGCACGTGGTGGGCGTTGTAGTCCCCCTCAAGGTCTCCAGGCCACACGTAGGACAGTAAGTCCGTGGATGGGAGGGAAGCCCACTGAGCTGCCGGTGGAGGCTCTGGAAACACCTTGGGCAGCAGCAGGAGGAGGAGGAGCCACCAGGAGCACTACAGTGAGGCCCCACAGCAGACACGGCATAAAAACCCACACAGGGCAAATGTGAGCGGAGCCTCGAGTGTCCCCACTGTGGACCCAGGGGCTGAAGGCACAGAGCTGTGTCGGGATGGAAGAAGCCCGGGTGCACTCGCAGTCCAGAGCAAGAAAGCACAATGAGAACCCAGCCCGAGGGAGGCTCTCTGTGAAGGGCGGCCTCGGATCCTGGGCGCGGCACAGTGACACTGCAACAGACCAGGCACCATTAGTCAGCCACCAGCAAGGGACCAAGCGGGAGTCTCCACCAACCACACTCCAGGCCGAGAGGCAGTGCCTCAGGCCGAGAGCGGGCCTGGCCGTCAGTGGCACCCACATCACCCCAGCTTAGCTCTCTCTCATGGTTCCTCCTCCAGGGAACCCAGCACCACACGCGGGCAGACACTCACTCCTGGAACCACTACCAACATGGGGACAGTGTCGTGCCCAATCACCCTTCTTGAGTGCCAGCCCCCACTTCTTCCCGAGCTTCCTATCAACCACCAGTGGTGGCACTACCATCTTCCTGGGGTGTCTTCTTCTATGTGTGGTCTAACAAGCAGCCAGACTCAGCAGGCATTCATTCCTGTCTTCACGCTCACAAGGCTTACCACAGTGCTGAGGTCACTCTTGACTTCCCAGAGGAATGACCTCCTCAGTGACAAAGAACTCGATGGTCTCCTCCTCCCAGTCATCCACGTTGCTGTCCAGCTCGTCAGTGTCCACCCCTGAGAAGACAGAGCAGGCTGACCCCTGGGACGCAGCGCCAGCCGCAGGCTTAGTCCGAACCCTTGAGGGACCACTCCACTTGCAGACAAGCCCAGTTACCTCCCCGTAGTTCTAGACGCTCGGTCTTCTGCTTCATGTAGAGTTCCTGGGCCATTTTTCGGTATTGCCGGAAGTCTTCCATCATGGTCCGCCTTCTTTCCACCAGTTCCTATCATGTGGGGAAGGTTGCAGGACTGAGCAGGACACACTTGCTCAGCCGCAGTGACCCGCTCTGTGTCTAGCAACCATTGTTGAAGTTCGGAAGAGGGAAAGCAGAGCTTTGTGTGCTGGGCAAGCCTTCCAGGGAACCTCCCTTAAACGAGACCCTCATTTCTCTTCCGACTCCATTCCCTCCTGCTTCTATCAAGGAAAAGCCAGCCTCTCCCCCATGTTAGTGGCTGTTGGTTCCAAGAACCAGTGCTGACCCTCTGCTCCCCATTGCTAGCTGCCCCCTCACACGTGGGAGCACAAGCCAGACCAGGGTCCTGGCACACACCTCTCATACTGCCCAGGCCCAGACAGGGATGGGCTCGTGAGCACCCCTCAGGCTCACCTTTGAAGCTTTGGACTGACTCAAGCGATCCTTCTGCTCGAAGATCTTAGA